CCAACTCCAACACGAAAAATATTAGGATACATAACTCAAAAGTCAAGGCAGTTTTGCTATATGGAGCAGGGACATGGAGAGTCTCCAAAGCAAGCTCAGCGAAGATACAGACCTTCATTAACAGATGGTTTTTTTTGCAAAAGCCCATAACTTGAGTACTATTTCAAATAGATAATAAAAATTCACATGTAAGTAAAAGATCTAATTTTCTACCTTCTGACAAATTTTGAGTAGTTTCCTTTGAACGGAAGTAGTAATTTACGCTATTTCCGATTTCTCAAAAAAACGAATTCAAATTTATAAAGTACTTATAATAATCCGCACTATTATGCACTTTTATTTGGCGTTCACTTGGTGTGCAATTCTTTTTTCTAGGAGATTTTATTTTATTTTTATAAGTTTAAGTATTTAAAATGGATTAAAAATCATGTCTATATCCCGAGTTCCCATCACCTGTTGTTTAATATAAGAATATTCGAGAAAGTTTAGGGGAGATCATTCCCGGTTTATTTTTAAATATTTTTATTCACTAAAGCATTATAGTTCCACCAAGAGTATACCGTTTTTCTTTTTATCTCGTTTATCACAATATGCGTATAAGCAGTGTTGTTTTATTTAAAATGGAAGAGATTTGTAAGCATTTTTAAAAGCCAACAGGACCGCACGAATCTTAAACAACTAAATTAATAGATAAATATCAAGGTAGGGCTACACAATAATTAGATTTAAAAAGTTAATACATCTAATTAAATCTAATCTTACGTCATTATCAATGTTTACATGGTCTTGACCTGCGTGTCAAGTTTAAAACAACTCGGTATGGTAGTTTTGTTTAGAATCTTGTAGTCAATTTTGGACTCAAGGCGCAGCAAAGGGAAAAAACAAAGTTGAACTCCGTTATTTGCGTTGGGTTTAAATTTTAATTATGTTATGTTCTTAACGTTTTGGAACTTGTAAACATTTTAATTTTCAGTTAAATTTGGACAGTCAAGTGTAGGTTCACAGCAATCTGGGTATTTTTTGGTGGTATCGTACGTCGCCGTGCACTCAGGTGGGAAGCCATAAGAACCGCATCTGAAAGAGTGGTAAATACAACAGAAAGATTAATAGTACTCTGTTTATGGTGATAACAGTGCCGTGTTTTTTCATACGTTACAAATACAATGTAACTACAAGAAATTGGGTCTAGGGAGAATGTATCTAAATAATCTCGCTGAAATAATAACTCTTGTCGGGGATGGATTGGTGTTATATTAAAGAACTATCAACAGATGTTTCAAGTTATGAAAAGTGGTGTTCGGAAAAAAGTGTTGGTGTTAGTTTAAAAATGTGTTATAGTTTGTATGTAACATATTTTGCACGTTGTACAACCAAGCGCAATCCAAACTACTGGCCCCATACGCCCCACTCAAGGAAAAACTACATGGGGCACCCGTGGATCTGGTGACCACAATCCAATTTAACGACGAAGTTAGACATATTGTTTGAATCCTTCTAACATAAACTCAATTAAAAACGCAGAAGAAGATGAAGAAGTTAAACAATGTGTTCTAGTTGGTATGTAATAAAAACTTACGAGAAGCATTGGTAGCCTCCGTCACCACAGTCACAAATCTCACATCCCGGGGGGTACCAGGATTCGCCAAACTTTACTCCATCAGGGCAAGCTCCTGGTAAAACACGGAACTTTAATGTTCAGGAAACATAGCTGTATAATTTACTTATTTATTTTTGTGCAAATATTTATACGGGCAAAACATTTAATACAACTTGTTAAAAATTAAATAACATCTATACATAGATAGAAATATAGTTTACTTTCTGGTACGGATCACATGAAAACAGAAACGAGGATAACTTGCACAAAAAAAAGATCCTGAAACAAAATTTAATTTTTTTTTCTCTTACCCAGTCCCATCGACGTAGCCGCCGACACATAACCAACTAGACCGAGGCAGACGACGAGAGTTAAAACTATCTTGTTCATTTTGAGACTGGTCTGATAACAGATGATAAGTGGTAACGTTTGGCGGCGTAGACTGAACAACTGACTAGTCGAAGCAACTTGTTATATAAACTTTTATTTTGGGTCCAATGTGAACATTAATTTAAATTTACGCAATTTCCTTTGCCTTGAAAAAAACTAGAAGTAGACAATTGTTGAAAATAAATAGCTCGTTTATTTTCAGACTGTAATTTGAAAAGGTAATCAATTCAGGTACATGGTTGACGACGTAAAACGCTAATTACATTTTAATTTGCTGAGGTGTGGTTTTTTTGTCACATCGTTATCATGCAAATAAAAACATTTACAGCCTTTTCTAGTTAGGATCATCATGTGGGATGACAGAGTTCTATCCCTCGCTTCCCTCTAATTGACTCACAAATTGCTAACCGTCTCATGTTAAGTTTAAGTTTGGGGGTTTCAGTCTCAATGGGAGTGTGGTTTGTTAGGGGGTTTATGTCCGTGTGGTTTATGTAAGAGAGTGAGGACAGGTCGCGGATGTTTGGGTCCAGGGGTTTGTGTGGGGGGGGGGGACTGTTATGTCTAGGGGAGAAAAATTAACTTAACTAAGAGTGTTCGATGAAATATTTATCAGATAAATTCCGTTTTGCTGAATAATTCAATTAGGTAAAAAAAAATTAAATCAATATTAGAAAAATCATCAGAAAAAATATCTATCTTCTATATATATAATTCAGCAAGCTGTAAGCGCGCTCCCTACCACCACCACCCCTACATGGTCTGGTGAGCTTTGGTTCACGCTATTATTATTATTGACTATTAGGGGCAGATAATTTATTTTGAAACGATTTTAAACTTAGGGGAGGTAACTAAGAGGAGTTTACTTTAACTGGGGGGGGGGGAGGTTATCGTCCTTAACGAGCTACTGATAGTGTTTTAAAGCAAATATTTTAAGTGGCAGCGTTGGTACTGTCGAATTCACAAATTATGAATTACTGATAAGTAGAAAATAAAACAACTAAATATTGGCGTATTATACGACGCGGGTCAACTCGTAAGAATTAAATATCATAAGTTTACTAATTTCGTTTATGCAATAATTCGTTACGTGTTTGCTAGTTACGTGTTACTTTTTGTTACGTTGTGTACTATGTATATATTAAATACTTTCGCTCATTATCAAACCTTCCATTTGTAAATTTTCGTGTTTGAAGTTCTGCTCTACGTTAATTGAATTGAACAGGTGTCGCCGTGTGAATCATTACCTTATTTAACTGCGACTTAACTGAAATGTTTAGAACAAAATGTTCGTGATCTAGCAGTTTAAAAAAATTGCTTTACATACCTTTAGACACAACCGTTTTCTTATAATCTATCTACTTAATATTGTATTGTTCATGTAAAATAGTTGTACATTCCTAACTAGGATGTTGGGACTGCAAAATCGTGTTATTAATACTTTCATAGCACATTACGACACCCTACAATAATGTCGCATCTGAAATAGTGGTTTTTCTCTCCTGTAATAATTATAGATTTACATATTGTTGAAGCTGTGATGATGGAAGACGAAAGAAATTTCGCACGTAAGTTTTAGATTGCATGCGCTTTTTGGTGTGAATTATTTAACGATTTCCGGTAACCGGAACGAGTGCTTTATTGTTATGGAAATAAAATAATGTGAATACTACTTTATTCAGGTAGACGAAATTTCATACATAAGCGTACGATCATAGAATTGGATTACTTTTTAAACGTTTTCCGGTATCCAGAAGTAGTTTTTTTTATAATTTTTTTTGGAAAAACGAGCAATTGAATATTGTTTCAGACAGGTAGACAAATGCATACATAAGTATACATTTTATACTTTTGGAATCCTGTCAATTTTGAGTGACCTTCGTTATGTGGAAATGGTATTTTGCATATAATCTAATATTTATGTTTGAAATGTCGTCCACTTAATTTGATTGGTATTCAAATTATAGAATTTTAAGAAGCTGGAAGAAGACTTAGTCCCGTTTCCTAAAAACCACTCCAAAGTTTTGGAGAAAACTGTAAATTTGATATGATACTTATAAATAAAATTTCGTCAATCTACCTGATAAAAAACTTAAACTACCCTGCTTCCATACTCACATACATAGACAGGCAAAATTACTAAACTATGATTATTCAGGTTCCGGAATGTGTAAAACGTCGAAATTTTTAAAAATCTTGATTTTGATTTTTCGCAGGCTCAGAATGCATACTTTACATTCCGTATAAGATAAAGTAGTAAGGTGTAAAACTGTGAACATTGTCTACTTAAATAAAAAGTTAGTCAGTCTTGCATTTTCATTGAATATTAAAGTATCTGAAAAGTTTGAACGAAATCGCTCTTTTAAAAGTAAGTGATAATTGAGTTATCATATTTGACGCAAACAAGCAAACAAAAAATAAAACAGACTTCTTCTTCTTCTTCGTTCTTAATTTTCAGCGTTGGAGTGGATCGAACCTTATCTGTCATAAGGTTTGAACTCGAGACTTTTTTTCCGAATTTATCAACCATGAGCTTTTGCCGACGCGATCACGCTTCCATCATAATTAAGGATACGTGTCAACTGGTTATGCGCCATTGAGGCCATTGACTCCGATTTCAGCCTGCTTTTCTTTTTGGATTTGCTTCCATAGCCTTTGTCCAACCAAGAACAAACTACAAGGCAGCAGTTGTTTGAAGAGTGGCTGTCCCCAGCTAACGAGCCTCATCTACCCGAGGGTTCGTATTCGAGTCTTCTCGGTTTAAACACACAAACGTAAACTTTTTTTTTATTTTAATGTAAGTGGCGTTAAATTTTGATTTATGGGCAGTCTAATTTTATGCCAGAATTTTCAAATTCTATTGACCTGCGTGTCAAGTGTGAAACAAATCGTTATGGTAGTAACGTTTAGAATTTCGTCCTCGACTCTCGACTCTAGACGCAACAAAAAAATCAGTAACTGCTTTTAAAAACGAAGATGAATTGTATTATTGAATGTATTTATTTCCATTGGAATATTTTGTTTTTAAATGTTCTTAACGTTTAGGAACTTGTTAGCGATAGATCTTTCATTTATTTTTTTTGGCAGTCAAGTTTTGGAACACAGCAATCTGGATATTGCTTGGTGGTGTCGTACGTCGCCTTGCACCCAGGTGGGAACCTATAAGTACTGCACCTGAAAGAGTGGTTAATACAAAAGAGATTAATTATACTCTGTTTATGATCTTAGCAGTGTGCGTGTTTTACAAATGTTACAACTACAAAGTAACTACAAGAAATTGTGTCTTTCGGGAATTTATCTAAATAACCTCGCTGAAAAAAATTACTCTTATGTCTTTTGTAAATAGTGTTACATCAAATAACTATAAACAAATTATGGTCCAGGTAGTAAAAAGAGGAGTTCGAAAAAAAACGTGTTAGTTTTAGTTTTAAAATGTGCTATATCTGGTAAATATAGAATCTTTCAAGTAGCCTACCATTCTTAGCCTCAAACATAATTCACATTTCTGACATACCGGTGTCAGAGCACTTCCTTTAGGATTGCCCCTTGTACAACCAGACGCGGTCTAAACACTGACCCTTTTACACCCACTCAAGGAGAAACTGTAGGGGGAACTCACAAATCTGGAGACCACAGTCATGTACATCCACGACGTTGGACGTATTGTTTAAATCATCCAAAATAAACCCAATTAATAACGCAGAAGAAGAAGTTTAAAATTGTGTTAAAGTTGATATGTAATAAAAACTTACGAGTAGCATTCATAGCTTCCATCATAACAGTCACATTTCTCACATCCAGATGGGTACCAGGATTCGCCAATCTTTACTCCATCAGGGCAAGCTCCTGGTAAAGATAAGATGTTTTAATGTTTAGGAAACAAAAAATTCTTTTATTTATTTTTTTTTTTGCAAATATTTGTACAGGCATAATATTTAATAGAATTTTTTTTAATAGTTGAAATAACATCTATACACTGATAGAAATGTAGTTTCCGTTTTTTTAAAAAAAAACTGATCACATGAAAAAAGAAACAAAAATAATTTGCACAAAAAAAAGATCCTGAAACAAAATTGAAAATTTTCTCTTACCCAGTCCTATCGATGTAGCAGCCGACACGTAACCAACAAGACCGAGGCAGACGACGAGAGTTAAAACTATCTTGTTCATGTTGAGACTGGTCTGATAACAGATGATAAGTGGTAACGTTTGCTGGCGTAGACTGAACAACTGACTAGTCGAAACAACTTGTTATATAAACTTTTATTTTAGGTCGAATTTGAAAATTAATTTAAATAAATTATGCTATTTCTATTACCTTGAAAAATCTAACTAGTTACTAAACAGTCCCAGTTTATTTTCAGACTGAAACTTGAAAGTGTAATCAATTCAGGTCTATGGCTGACAACGTAAAACGCTAATTACGTTTTAATTTGCTGAGGTGGGTTTTTTCGTTACAGCTTTATCATGCAAATAATAACATTTACAGTCTTTTCTAGTCAGCTTTTTTATGCGGGATGAGAAATAGAAGTATTCTCCCTCTCTCCATTACAATTTACTCGCTAATTGCTAACCGTCTCATGTTAAGTTTAAGTTTGGGAGTTTCAGCCTCAATGGAGAGGGTGGTGTTTAGGGGATTTTGTCCGTGTTGTTTATGTCCGTGAGGTTTATGTCCGTGAGGTTGATGTCCAGGGGGTTTATGTCCAGCGGGTTTAGGTTAGAGAGTAGGGATATGTCCAAGGTGTATTTGTCCAGGGTGTTTACGTAGGGAGTGTTATGTCTAGCGACTAATGACCAGACGGTAAACCAAAATCATGCGAGAAAAATTAACTTAACTAAAAATTTCGATTAACTATTCAAGAGATAGATCCAGTTTAGCTGGGTAATTTATAACGGTAAAAACAAAATGAAACAATATCAAAACATTATCAGTAAAAATATAATAAATAAATATATAAATATCATACGTTTACTTAATCTCTTTATGTAATAATTTGTAATGTAATTGTTAGTTTTGTGTTATCAATAGTTTACTTTCATATGCAAAATACTTTCGCTCATTATCAAACCTGTCCTTTGTAAACATGTTTGTTTGAAGTTTTGCTCTACGTTAATTGAATCCAACAGGTGTCGCCGTGTGAATCATTACCTTATTCGACTGCGACTTAACCAAAATGTTTATAACAGGTTATCTAACCGTCCGCTACGTTTGTACAAGTCAAACAGGAACTCAATTCTTTTACTATTACATCATTGTAAATTCCTAACTTGGATGTTGAGACTGCCCAAATCTTGTTCTTAAAACTTTCATAGCACGTTACGAAACAATACAATACTGTCGCATCAGTAATAGCAGTTATTCTCTCCTGTTGAAGCTGTTTTAATTGAAGAAGAAAGAAATTTCTCACGTAAGTTTTAGGTTGTATGTGCTGGTTGTTGTCAATTATTTAACAATTCCCGGTAACCGGAAGGTATATTTTATTGTTATGGGAACATAAGAACTTGAATACTGTTTCATTTAGATAAACGAAATTTCATACATAAGCATACAATCATATATACCTGGACTATCCTTAATTTTAGCTTTTTAGAATACTGATATCTTAAGTGCCGCTAGGATGACGAAATCTCATTTATAAAAAGCTATATATTTTTATCTGAATATTTGAATAATTTTCGGTAACCGAAAAAGTGTAATTTACTTTATTTCAGATTTATTTATCATAAAGTATATGCTAAAATCATTTTGACTCAGTTTTCTTTCAAAATAAAATAAAGTATTATATTTTACGATTTTATTTAATTATGTTATTGTAGATGGAAATGTAAACATGATGGTAGCATTCCTTTTTTATATCGTGAAAAAATGTCTTGTATAAAAGCAATTAAAATTATAAGGTTTTTAATGTAAAAACCTTTTTTTTTTTTTTTTTTTTTTTTGCTAATGAATAACAAATTCATTTGTTCATTTGAGCTAAATTATAACACAATAATTAAAGAGTGTTTTAAAAAGTTTCGCGAAAAACAATTTTAAAATAATCTAAAAAATTTTAAACATGTATATTCTGAGTAGATGTATTTATTGTTTAATAAGAAATTGTTTTTGACGCTATCATGTACTTAAAAATACTGCATTCAAACTAAAGAATTAGAAAATACGCTTAGCATAAAGTTGAAGTTGTTTTTTGTTTCACGTTCGTTAATTTTCTAAATTACAACAACCATCTATTTCTTTGATGACCCGTGTATGAGTGTTTTGTAAGTCTCGGCAAACTTGGAGCTCATCGTGATGTAGATGAAGAAGTTGACGCAGGAGTTCACCTGATACGTAACGGGGATAAGGTAAACGATAAGGTCGTAGAAATTCCAAGAAAGCTCCTCGAAGTGTGTTGTCAGGTAGGTGTTGATCACATGCTCTGGTACCAACACCATGAAGCTGACGAGACAAACAACCAGCAACATCTTCACGACTTTTATTTCCTTCACCTGCTTTGAGGATCTGCCCGACAACCCTTTTCTTTTTAGCTGCGTAAGTTGAAAGATAATCAACGTGGAACAAATAAACACTATGATAATTGGTATTGTAGTTGTAGTATTGTTAACAAAGTAATTCACGTAGTCAAGTATGATTGTCATGTTATTTACAAAAAAATCTGTGTACGCCAAGACAGCGATAGTTTTCTTTATGCTTGGAACAAACACCCATCTGTAAGTAAAACGGTAGTAGTAAGGCCAAACAGGAATAGACCCGAATAGGTATAAAGCAAGCAACATCCATTTGGCTCTGTAGGGTGTGAATATACGAGACACGTGAAAGGGAAATAACACGGCGATGGCTCTTTCAATTCCTATAGCTGTGACGTGGAGTATTGTGATGACGAAGCACACAGCGTTAGGCATAAGAACCGCTAACTTTATAAACGTTTGGTAGGTGATAGCAAAATATGGATCAATAAGTTTAATCAGGCTAGGTAAACGTAAGAAAATCGACGTGATAGAATAAAAGAGATCCAGTGAAGACAGAGACAGCAACATTATGTTGGTGGTTTCCTTCAGGTTGTGTCGTGACAAGACCAGCAGGTTTAAAATGTTGACCACAACTCCAAGGACACCCAAAGATAAACCTAACCCAACGTTGAGAAATATTTCAAGAACCCACAGATCGTAGTCACTGAAGTTCAACAAAGTATGTGGTAAATGTTGAGTAGCTGCTACGGGCTGGGGTGAACTATTGTTGGTCATGGTTGTAGTGCGCTGAAGAAAGACACGTTATCTAAAAATAATTTTTACAAATTAATACATTATTTAAAATATGTTGGAAAAATAAATAATCATGAAAACAATTCTTACAATGTCTAAAAACCAACATACCTTATAAAGGCTACATATTCTCTTACAAAAATTGTTCTTAACTTTGTATATTCTTTTTATGATTAATATAAAAAAATTAATTCTATTTTATTTGTCTTACTTTCTGTTTAAGACACTTGAAAACCGTCCTTATTAACTAGCTTGAGTTGTTTACATCAGTGAATTCATTGAATATTAAACGCTTTTGATTATGGTCTTTCCTTTTATTTTAGTGAGACATTTAGTGCTTGGAATATTATTATAGACATCTGGAAATCTCTGTCTAGGCTAACAGATTTTGCTCTTACAATTTTACTGCCTTCCTAATAAACCCAGATATCTAGAATTCAATACTCTTCTGAAGTTACAATGTCGGTGGAGACTGTTCCTGATATATTGCTTGATACCTGATGACGCTTTTTTAAATCTATCTCAGAGTAAATATTTTTATATTTTTCAGACGGATGATACGCAATGATTATTTCGCCGCAGTCTAATATACATGTAAAAACAACAGCAGTATACAATGTATCATTTCGTGTCTCTCCTTTTGGACACTTTACAATACGTATAGACGTTTTTGTTTCATAGAACACTAGATGTTTAGTCAACTATCGGTTTACTGCGTAATTTAGTTTACACTCAATAACACAATATTGTTTCCCATACACATTTGTTTTAAATTTACAATTACATAAATGACCCCTCGAGCATAAGCAAAACTAAGTGATGTCGATATAAACCGTTATTAAACCTTGTTTTTTTACTATCTTACGACTCATTATCCCGCAGATCGAAATTCTTCCACGTAGCGTTTGCCCTTGAGGTAGAAAAGTAAAATTATTGTCAGCATTGATTCACTCTTAGGATAAATTGTTTGTGAATTTCGTTAAATTAGTTAACTAGCTTAGTATTACGAATTTTTCTTTATCTTAGCTGGTAGACTATCGGAAAACACTTTTCTTAACTTTCAAGCTATTTTATTTTGATCCCAAATATACAGATAATTTGTATTGAATTCAAAACTTACAAACAAATTTTGGGAACAACATAAAATTGTTCTATGTATAAAAATGTTATGGTTAATTAAAAAGTTTACCAGATGAAGCAAACGCTAAACATATTTTTAGAATTGAGAGCCACGAACAATGACTAACAATTTTTGTTGTTGTTGCTGTTGTTGTTAAATTGCTTATTAGTTTATAGCTAGATAGAAAATGTGTTAATGTTGGAGTCAGAACCAAAATATTAACAGATTTACTTGATGTATAACTACTGTATTATGACAATATTTTCAATTAATGTTCTCACGTGAATTACAGTTTACGTCAGTAGCAATTGTAAAATTTCCTCAGCGGGGATGTAGAAGATGGTCACCCAGTTCGTAATAAAGCATTTATGAACTGATCCCGTTTAGAAAACACAAGTCACAGATGTGAGTGATAATAGACCAATGCTAGGAATACATTACCTCAAGAGAAGCAACGCGTTTCTTCAACAGCATGACACATAGGCCTAAACCCGCCAACAGAAGCAAGTAGGCTTACAGCTCTTGACGATTAGACTTTTTTAGTGGCTTTTACAGTTGTATTTACTTTAAATATTTTTTTTAAATAAAAAAATAAAATCTCTGAGGGGACTGACGTTAACAATGACCGCCGTTGACATATTTATAATACATTTCAAATGGACTGTGTTGCATATACAAATCAGGCCCACTTTTAATCATAGTCTTCTTTTTTACGTGGATTTTCAGTAAACACACTTTTAGGTACATTTTGCTAATTCATATTCGGCTTAAATAATTTGTAATTTTGTAAACGTTTCGTTTTATTAAATTAAAAGATATTGACATTATAAAAGATTTCGTAAAGACTAAAAAATGTAAAATAATGAAGTGGGAGTGAGATCTCTAAACTTTCTTCTCGGATGTTCTTATATACCATTAGGGTGGATGGCACCTCGGGATATAGACATGATTTTAATCCATTTTTAATTTCTTTAATTTTTTAAAATAGAATAGAATCTCATAGAAAAAAGAATAGCGCACCTAGTGAACGCCAAACAATATATGTATAATAGTGCGGAATATTATTAGTACTTTATAAATTCTTATTCGTCTTTTTGAGAAATTGGAAATAGCGTAAATTACTACTTCCGGTCAACTGAAATTACTCAAAATTTGACATGTGAAAATTCGTTTATTTATCTGAAAAAGTAATCAGGTTATATACTTTTGAAAAACCAAAAGTAGAATGAGTGCTGCCTCCGGTTATCGGAAATTGCTGAAAAGTTGAAACAGGACTACAAATTTAAAATAGTACTTGTATATGAAATTTCATCAACCTAGCTGTAACGGTATCCAAGTTATCGTGTTCACAGACATACACACACATACACACACACTCACACAGACATACAAACAGAATTGCAAAGCCCAGTTTTTCCGACTCGATTTTGCATAGAACACAGAAATTTTGATAAATCTGCATTTATTATATTTGCATTGCCTGATTTTAAAAAGTCCCCTATACTCCGCATATGATGAAGTACTGAGGTATAAAACGATGAAAACTGTAAAATTTTTATGTGATTTGTGTGCACGATTACAAAACTTCCTCTATACTCTGTATACGAGAAAGTATAAATTAATGGGTAGAAATGCTTCTAAATGTCCTTGCTGTTTTGGGAAACATTTTCAACATCACCATATTAGCACGTCGCAGACGATACAATACATCAGACGTCATCTTGACATCATTGTCTGTCTGCAACTTGTTTTATTACGTCACAACCCTCGCCATGAGGATGGTGAGCTTTCAGCTCCTGACGGCTGCCACTGACCACGAGTTCCCGTACGGGCTGTACCTGGTGTCCAACGACATTGGTCTTGTAATCAACGTGTGTCATCTATCAACACTAGCCATCCTACAGGCTACCACTGTCTTGTACCCTGCTACTAGATACTTGCTCAACACTAACACGACTAAACTAGCACTGGTTACGCTAAACATTTACGTTATTCTGACAGTCACGTATATCTTTTATCAACAACATTATACCTGGGGTTTCACTTCTGAATCTAACCAAAAATCAGGGCTACCTACAAAAACAAGACTGATTTATGACAAATGGAATTCTTCTTTAAAAATGAATAACCTTAGTGTCATAATAATTACTATGTTTATTCCAGTAGTAGTATTCATGATCATTTTCCTTATATTATTTAAAATGTTGCTAAGCAGGAGAAATAGGAAGTGCACAACCTCTAATCACATAGGAAATGTTAAAGTTTTTAGGTGGTTTAGTGTAATGTGTGTGATTAATTTTATTATCTTATTTTTTTCACGTAACTTGAATTCGTTCTACACGAACAATGAAAAGAATTGTGGTTTTATAGTAGTTTTATTTGTTGAAAATCTTTTACAAACTTTGTTTCAGTTAAGTATTTGTTTGAATATATGTTCAGTGCGTTAAATAACTAAGATTATATTTCTATAAAGGCGTGTATTTGAACTCTATTAAATTGAAATATCAAGCCTACAAAATGCGTAACTCCGATTACTGGCATTAGGACAATAAATTTACATTTTATTAATTTTAGTTTCAAATGACGATTTGTTATTATCATTGTACATCAGAAGGTTAAAAATCAGAAAGATATCAAACTGCAGAAAACATTTTAATTTAACTGAAAAGCTAATATGAAATATTGCAAACATAATTTCAGTGTTGCTTTATAAAACACATAATTTTAAAAATGTATATATATATATATATATATATATATATATATATATATATATATATATATATATATATATATATATATGCAATATCTGTGATTTGACACATAAATAAAGTAATTCTCATTGTGAAGAGAAAAAAATAGGATATTTGTGATTTTCTGCTGAGCATATCCCCATAATACATTTTTACAATATTCGCATTCTGTTCTTACCCTCATTGTTAAAACAGAATGCGAATATGGTAAAAATAATGTACACGTTTTTATGAGTAGAAAAACAGTATTGAACTACTCATCAATAAGTCTTTTAACGCAGATCTATTTACAACATGTGATGAATCGCTTTATAAAGAAAAACTCACGGGCGGATCCACAGTGCCGCCAGACCCCGCAATGCCGGGGGCCCACGCCACTTTGGGGGTCCACAGCCGACCATAATAAAAAAATTAGAGTTATATAATTCGCTTGCATTTTTTACTTGATGGTTGTCTTGTAAAAAGAATACTGTAGCTGCGGGTGGATGATCTTTATTCTATAGACGCCATCCCACGCTCTTGTATATTCTTTTTCCCTTTGTTTTTAAACCACTGTGAAAGCGGAGTCCTCTTTCTCCTACAATCAAACACACGCTGCAGTCGCCAAAATTCATTTTATACTAAAAAATCAAAGTCCATTGCACGAGCGGCCGCTAGATATTAAGACGACTTTCGCTTTTTTATAGCGTTGGAAAGGGGCCCACAATCCATTGTGATTTTACAATGTAAAATGTAAGTTTTTTTGTATTTGTAGAACTAATATTCTGTAATATCCTGTATTCTATAAATATAATACATAATATAATATTAATAATTTCGGTTTTATGTACGTTTGCTTATGTTCGTTTTACAAAATATTTGATAGTAAACGTGTATAATTTTAATTCTCTCCATTGAATGTTTTACAATAAGGCTTTAGGAAAAGTAGTTGAGATCATCCCAAGTTCAGTACTGATGGATAGAAGTACATCAGCGCTTTGTTGTCCTTTTTAAGTTCCTTTCCATGCCCCCCCCCCCCCGTTCTTAGCCTTACGTGTAGCTAACTTCCTAGCTGTACATTCACCACTTCTCACATTTTATCAGACACAAGTATTATTAATTAGTTTGAC